TGCTACTGTAAATCTTGTAGTCCTGAAGTTCTGGGGGTAGCTGACACCCCGCAAGCACTATGGGCAGCGCCGTGGTGGGAATATTTCTTCGACTGCCCACTGGCTGCCTGCCCTGTTCGTTTGTAGCCGATGACCAAGTACGGTGGAGGGTCCCCTTGAGCTGGTAAGTGTACAGAGAGGAAGGAATCCATTCTTTAAAGTTAAAATGTTTAAATTGAATCACGGTAATGGAGAAATCAGATTTCACTCTCTTCTTGCTTGTAATAGAACAATCCATGCACATTGATAGTTTTCCCCAGTCAAGTATCCTTTTTTGTGTCCCCTTTTTGTATGTCTGCTGAGCAGACTGAGATGGGTACCAGTGGTTTGAAAATTGAAAATCTTCAATTTTCACGTAAATTACAGGTCAAATCTGTGTAGTGCATCACTGCCCCTTACAGTAAATCACATGTAAAACTAAGTTATGCCACATTTAAATGACAAAAGAATTCTTGGACTATGTGGTAGCTCTTTCCCGGTAGTAGCTGAAGAAAAGAAAAAACTAATAAATAATTAAGGCGGTAATATGTTTGACCACTGTTTTATTACTGTGACTTTTTTCTGTTATTATTGTAACAGAAATGCCCCTTTCAAAGACAACTAAAGCGCTAATGATAGCTAAGAAGGTCATTCCTAGGAGGTTAAACTGGTTTAATTAGAATTTATGAGAAGGTTACTATAAGAGTGCAGAAAGATGTTAAGGGGTTAACCTATAAGAGATTACATTGTAGTCAGTGTTCTGTTAAAGTTTGAATTAATTTTTCCCATGGGTTTTTCACATTCTAATTTTCAACTAAATGAGACATCTGTTTCAGAAAAGGAAAATTTGCTATGGTTGTCATAGCAACTATCATTCTGTAAGAAAATTATTCCAATGGTTACTTTAGAACAGAAAGATAGAAATTCAGTACATAAAGCAACATCCGATTGCTAGCACAAATTCTGATAATTCAGCCCTTTTTGTATGGTAGATTATTTGACCTGCAAGACTTGTTCATATGTTTTTAACATAAGGTTAATTGTGCTGTAAACAAATTCCCTTCCAATATATTTCCCCCCTAGAGTCTTACGTGTAGACAATCATTATTCTTATCATAATAATAATACCGTTGAATTTCAGTAGTATGTGGAGAGACTCAACCCGTTCGCTTTAAGAAGATAAGACCTAAATCAAAGTACATTTCTACACATGAGCGCTTCGCTTCAGAGGTGAAATACATTCATGATGTATGTCTTTAATTGCCAAATACATTTTTCTTGGGGTTTTTTTGAGAACAGCGGATTTTTCTCTTACAGAACATACATGACAGTATTTTCTTTGTAAACCGTAAAATACTATTGAAAAGTAATTAATTAAAAGATTGCACTTCTCCTGAGCAAGCAGTAAGTGGGGATCTAGAAATTCAGTGCTTGGTATGAAGACTTTAACTTTGCTTTCAGGTTCCATCGTAAATGGAAATTTTAGACAAAGTTGTCTTTGCACGATATCCAGGTCACAGACTCATTAGTTGGTATTAGAGAAGATTTTTTTTTTCCTACTCGGAAACTTTGATGGCTGTTTTGCAATAAATTTTCAGAAAAGGGACTTGGGATTTATAAAATCCCTGTGTGCGTATAAAGATGGTTTTGCTTTGGGGGTGGGGGCACCGAAGTGTATGATTTTTCTTTCTTCTCTCAGATAGAAAGCACACCGACATCCTCCGCTGAATCCTTTCTTGGAATTCAGATTTTTTTCGCCAGAAATATTCCAGACATTTCTCTCGATCTCGGGATTGTCACAAAAGACAGCATGATGGCAAATCACACAAGTTGTAACATCTCCCCTTCACAAAAGAACAGCTCCAGCATGCATAACTTACCAGCCCTGCGCTCAGGCGGCGACGCGCTGCAGTCACCACAAAGGGAGGGAGGGAGGGACGGGGGAGTGCTTCTTGTCTTAATAAGCAGATCATGCCTATTCATGAGGGGAAACGGGCTTTTGGAGAAGTGGCCGTGTACCGGCTAACCCTACTAGAGAGAGGCAGGCAGAGACTCTCACAGCTGCATGTGCCATTCGTGGTCTTTTGGATTTCAGCAGGATTAAGCTGACTTCTGGCGAGACCTGTGGCGGTCGCGATTATTTCTCTTCATAAATGCTTCATTGTATCCTTAAAATAATGATTCCGTAGGTTTTTGACCTTTTCTTCTTGGGCAAATGTTGGTCTTTCCCCTCGGTGTCGTTCTCGGGGGGCGGAATGGCCACGGCCGGTTGTGCGGGGCGCGGGACGAGGGCACAATTCTGTCCATGCCCCACAGCGCTGGGGGAGCGACGGCTGGGAGCAGGGCCTGTACTCGCTGAACCCATCAGCGGCTTTACGAGCGTGATTTACTATGCCGACACTTCCTTTGCCTCCTGTTTACCCTTGCAAATATTTTCTGTCGGTGAGATTTTGCTCCTGGAAAACTTGCTCCGGGCCTAAAGATGATTTGCCAAACAGTTGAATATTTTCCTCTTGGTGAGGAAAGATACTTGGCTGTAAGGTGTGGAATGCAATCCTGAGGCAGGAACGGATGGACAGTTTAGAAAGAGCCTGACCTCTGTATATTTTTATAAACCCTCCCCCTTCTGTAATATCTGAGCACCTCACAGACTTCAGTGTATTTATTTTCAGGGCATTCCTGTGAGATAAAGACACTCCCGTTCTGTCAATGGTGAGCTGAATGTGAAGACAGACCAGGGTTTGGTTCTGTGTGACAGTGTTACACGGTAACGTCGCTGGTAGCTTACTGCAGAGTAAGTCAGTAACTGGAATCATAGAATCACAGAATCATCTGGGTTGGAAAAGACCTTTAAGATCATCAAGTCCAACCGTACACCTAGCACTGCCAAGTCCACCGCTAAACCATGTCCCCAAGTGCCACGTCCACACGTCTTTTAAATACCTCCAGGGATGGTGACTCAACCACTTCCCTGGGCAGCCTGTTCCAGTGCTTGACAACCCTTTCGGTGAAGAAATTTTTCCCAATATCCCATCTAAACCTCCCCTGGTGCATTTCCTCCTGTCCTATCACTTGTTACTTGGGAGAAGAGACCGACCCCCACCTCACTACAACCCCCTTTCAGGTAGCTGTAGGGAGCGATCAGGTCTCCCCTCAGCCTCCTAACGAGACCATGAGTTACTGCCCCAGCAGAGGAAGGCAAGAAGTCATGTACCTGTGAGCCAGGTGCTCTTCGTTCTGTGAGGAAGGGCTGCTAGGAGTTGAACAGGTAACCAGAAAAGTGTCATTTCATATCCCCGATACAGGGATATGTCTTTTTCTTAGCCAGCCCCTTTGGTCTGAGCAACCTGACTCAGAAGGTTTCCGCTTCACTGCTACTGGTATTAGCATCTCTTCTTCACACACCTTCTTCACCTGCCTCATCACAGCTTCTGGAGGCTGGGATATATTTCTGGTCCCAATGGCAGATGTACAAAGTTTCACCTTTTTTTTTTTTCCCCTGGGACACCTGTTTATCCAGACCCTGGTTATCCAGGGTGTGTGACGAAGAACTAGGAGATGAGCTCTTGGCTGTGGACACAGAGAGCCTTTCAGTCATCTGTTTAGTATAGTCGAGGCTCTTTTTGTCTATGAAAGAAAGGCAAGAAACCTTCTGCAAAGCCCCCTTCTTCCTTTCCTTTTACCAGAACTTTCTTTTCTACCCTCGGGTAAGCCACATCCCTTTTTTTAGCAAGCTCTCTATTTTTACAGCTGTTTTCAATAGGCATGTGCTTTACAGCATTCTGAAAGGAAAAGTAGAAAATATATCATCATGAAGACATGCTAATTTTTGAAATGTTAGTCAAGCATCAGTAATGGAAGAGGATGAATAATAGCTTTATGGGCATTTTCTTTTGTCTTTGCCATACATGATGTAAAGTGGAGTTCAGAGAATTTGTTTGAAAGAATTCTTTCTGTCTTTTGATGTGGTGAAGGAGTGTAAAGCTTTCTTCAACAAAGTAACATCTCAAAGGGAACTCTGGTTGATGTGTATGTATGTATAAACACTGTGGCTGCAATTATCATAAACCTTATTAAATCACAGCAGCCTATTTGTCGTTCTCCAAATATGGATATGGCCAGAAGATGTCAGTCAAAAAATTATAAAAAAATTGCAACCTAAAACTAACCCCTCAATTTTATGACCTAGAATTAGAGCATAGTCAGCAAGACGTAATTTACCACTGTGATATAATTGCTGTGAAATACAGTTTTTTAATCAATGGGATAGCAAGATACGGATAAATTGTGTTCTGACTGGCAGTGTTACAGTCCTGCTGCTCCATGATGAGCTGCTCCATAAATATGTTTTAAAAAATGTAAATGCCTGTCTGATAAGAAATCCTGAATATGGAAAGTCTTACTTAAAAGCAAGTCAGCACACCAGAGGACAGAAGAAAATGATGTGTAAGAAAAGAAGCAGTATTCTTGTTCTGATGGGATGCTTCCAATTAGGGAAACAAAGCAGCATAAATAATGTCTCTGACTTTGGAGCAGGATCAGTTGCTGTGCCAGGGTCTGTCCTTGCCCAGCTGGTCATAGGCTAAGGGCTGAACATGATGGTAGCCAATGTGAAAACATATATCCGCACCTAGGTGTCTGAGATAGGTGTTCTAGATGTTGTGGGAGTCCAGCATGCTAATCCACCCAGGGAGATCTTGGTATCCAGGTCTTGTAAGAGTTACTTTTCACCTTGTTAGAGGAATACTGTGAATATTTTACTGTATGCTGCCTACTGAAAGTGGTAAGGACTGCACTGATTTACCACACAAGTTAAATAACACTGTTGTATGGAAAGAGGATTTTACTGTGCACACAAAGAAGAAAATGAATGCTATTTGTGTCTCCAAATTCCATGTTAGTAGAGAGTCAATCTCCATATTTTAATTAGATAACCAGTACATGGAAGTAGCACTGAAGACATTCTCCTCCTCTCTTGGCAGGCAACCTTGGTTTTATGGCTGGGGCTTTAATCTTCCACGAGGCCAAGCACTATTAGAGAAATGGAACCTTATTCCAGATGGAATAGATATTCTTATAACACATGGACCACCTCTCGGTAAGAAAATACTAGTGCTCTTAGCTGTGTATTTCAGATGATTATACGGTAACTGATGGCTCTCCTTAGACAAAGTGCAATCCTGACTTAGAAAAGTCAAAAGTAACATCTGTACTGATTTCAGCAGCACCAGAACTTCTGCTCAGGTTTATGTTTCATGATTACTTATGCTTAATAGTAGGGAATTAAATAATGGCTTAAAAAATAAAGCCTTAACACATAAAGCCTTAATAAGCTTTATAAATAAGCAAAGTCTGTTTTTACTATGCATCTGTCCACTCTGCCACCAGTGAAATTAGTAGATTTAAAGCGTGGAGCCTTCTTGAAGAGAAATGCAGGATTGGGATCTTATTTTTTTAGGACTGTCTGCCTCCCTCACTTGCAGTAGCATTCCCCCACCAACAAGTACCCAGAGGCTGTATTTTTTCCTCATCATGCTGACTTGGTGCATCTTCTGCCTCACAAACCCAACTGCTGCCATTGTTTGCCTGTTCTTTGGACAGCGTGGGTGAATTGCCTGTCTGTAATACTATCTGGCAACACTAACAGACCAACAAGAAATAGTTTTACTTTTGTGTTTTACAAATATTAATATAGACACAAAAGCCAGGAGAGACTTCTTGTGTTCCTAGATAATAGTGAAATTACCGGTGTTACAGAAATAATACAATCACAGAAACTTGTCCTGATTCAGTAAAGGCTTAAGGCTTTTAACATGTTTTTCAGTGCATTTAACATAGAGCAAGCTATATTTAATGCATCTATGTGTTTAACTCTCACTGATTTAATAAATGGACATGAATGTGAAGCATGTACTTAAGTGTTCTGCTGAGTCTCACTGTGGAGGAGTGCTTTGTGTGAAATGAAGGCAGTTGGTTTCTTTAAACCTTTAGACTCCCCAATTTCCTGAAGCTAAAACCCTCTTGTCTTCCACCCTTTCTTCTCCTCTTTCAGAGCTTGGAGGAGAAAGTATCTAAAGGGTTTGTGTTTTGTTGTTTTCTTTAGAAAGACATGTTTGCATTCCACTGCTCGCTAATCCTGGAGGAAAGGGTTTCTTTGTGAGCAGGGTTTCTCACAGTAAGGGCATGTGTTCTGATACTTCAGCTAAGTGGAGTCTCATGCCATGCCATAGACTGACTTTAATATGGACCTGTATCATAAAAGTGGATGGCAGAAATAATTGTTTAGGCCTTGAGATATCAGCTCCAAATGGTTAGTAGTGGGTATAATCCCTGTTAGGATCCAAGGCATGATGCTGAGTCTTTGATATAGTTTTATTTGTAAGTCATATTTAAAACTTTTTCAGAACCTTTTTCAGCACTTTTAAAGCTGTTTTTAAAACCGGCTGATCAGCTGTAAAGAAATCCCAACCTTCAGCTGATCCAAAGAATATCCTTGTATCTAGCACTTGAAATCCAGTGCTGGGAAGTTGAGAGGGGTTCGCACCACCCAACTTCAGCCACCTTGCTAATTTATCCACCAGGCCTCTCCAGGCAGCCTCTGGGATCAGCAGAGGGAAGAGAACCTCTAGAGAGCACTGCAGAACTGGCACTTAACAGACATGCTTTAATAATAAATTGAATAGTAAATTTAATAATTGAAAAGTAATTTAATAATTGTAGTAATTCTGAGGAAGAGCTGACCATCTCCACTGGCTGTAATGGGATAACATGAATTCCCCCCATCTCCATGTCTCAGTGTTTGTTCTCTTTTTTCTGAATTCTTAAGCTTCAACCGTCCTCCAAGGATTTTCTTTTTTAAAAGTTCCCATTTCTTTGTCTTTTTTCTTACTGATGCATTAATAGATGGCTCAGGCACAGAACCCTCTGCCTGAGGGCATCAGCTGTTGGTCTCCCTGACACCCATGGCAACAAATACTTGATGCTTTAAAAGAAGTTAACACTCTGCCTAACTTACAGAACCTCCTTATTGTGTAGCTCTGTCCTCAGACATTTTGGGAGACAAGATCCTCCTTGACCTTCCCAGCCAGTTATTTTAACCAGAAAGCTGATTACTGTTGTTCTGATCTTGGACAGCATCACTAGAGCCGTCCCTAATGATCATAAATAGCAATCTGTGCAAATTCCTTTTTTTTCCTCCAGCATGGCTGCCTAAATTGTGTCCATCATCCATTTTCTGTGCTGCTTTCTCATTCCCTCAGTTCAAAAGAGCGCACATCTTCCTAAACTAATTAATACTACATTATTAGATCTAAAATTGTCTGCATAGATGCAGAAGCACCATTAAGAGTTAATGGACTTCGTGTTTCTAGGTCAGTTAGTCACGTAACAAAAATCAGAGTAATTTTTCTTTTCTGTTCTGGAGTAGTACTTTGGGATGAAACCAGGGTGGGTATACACAGGAGGTTCACACAGGATGAGAAAGCAAAGGTTAAAACAGCTATTATTGACCATTTTATTAGTAACCTGTTTATTATTAATGAAGATATACTATATAGTTCATAGCTTTTGAAATACAGTATTCATGATTATGGGATCAGTACTAATGCTCATTTCTATATCAGTGTATTTTTGTTACTTTTATGTATAATATAACTTTTTAAGTCTTTTACCTGCTTCCTAAAGATCTGCATTTATGATTCTTTTGTTTCTCTTCAAAAAGTTCACTTTTCTTCTCTTTGTTTGTTTTTAATTTAATTTCACCTTTAAGTCTTCATTTGTAGCTGTCTGCTTGATTGTCTATGACAAAGATTTATACTTTCCTGACAGCTGCAGAAACCTGTTTCAAGTAACCAAACATTAAAAAAACCCTAAGATGAACTCTAATTGTTAGCTAGGTGTAATCAATTATTCTTAGTTTGTGTAGTCAGGTGTACATAATAAGCTGCAAACATATGGGAAAGCTTCAGAAGGGTGATAATGCATGTAAACAAAAACATGTTCAACATAAATAATGCTTAATTTAATGGAGAAGTTAATTTTATGGATTTTTGTTTGTGAAGTTTTTGAAGTGGAAATACTTTTGGCTTTATGTTCACCACAGACATTTTGACAATTAACTGTTTCAAATCATGGAAGTAACAAAACCTATGGTTATAATGCATTTGCTCTGAAAAAAGCATGACTGTATTCCAGAGCAGTTGCTGGCCTCACTTTGACATCTTAAATACTTATTATTTTCTACAGTGAATTGTGACCTGTGTTGGATACCAAGAGTGACTGGTAAAATCAGTTACCAGAACTGAGCATTGCTCTGCTCTTTCTGTAATTCAGTGGAGTTTTCTCTCTGTACATCCCTCCGACAGGAGCCAAGCATTATCTGAATGAATTAGGAGTCTATGGCCCTTATCAGAACTTCCTCTTTCTGACACTTAGGATGCTGCATTCCAACTAATTTCTGAAAATTGGACTTAGCTCTCTGAATAACTATGATACAAGGGCAAATTTTTACTATTTTTCTGAAACCCCACGGTGTACTGAGCCTAGTTTTCAAGCACTGGCATCTATTTCTCAATGTGTGAACCTACCCTGAAGCTGTAGCAAATCTGCGAGCTTTTCCAAGATCTCCAATACCACCGTTATGGTCTTTTAAGCCAATTGGTTAGCTGCTATTTAGGCATGCTTGAGTGGACGTCAAAAGTAAACATAATGAAAACTAGGTCCAGACTTTATAGCTCTCTGGCTGACTACCATTTTCTCAAAGGCATGCTGTTGCAGCAATCTAAGAGATACAAAGCTATGACAGGCACACAGGGAGAGCACCAGAACAACTAAAGAAAAACAGAAGGATTATATCTTTTAGGTTTCCAGACTTGAGCCTGATGAAGATGGCAGAACAATAGAAAGAAAACAAGATTGGTTATTGCAAACCCTCTAATACAACAACATCCTTCTTATACTACTACTTTGAAAGAAACATGAGACTTCAGTTGGCAGTAAGCTTCCCCCTGCAGTATGTTTTCAGACATATAAGCAAGTTGGTAATACATTTTTGTCTGTATTAATAAAACCCGCATTTTTATACAAACTGTGGGCAAGTAAATATAGCACTTAAAAACATCTACTGCAGAAGGGCTGAGTTTCTCTTCCTGTCTGAGGTCCATAGATTTAGGCTAGTGGGGCTTGCTGTGTCATGAAGTGCTTAAACCAGTTTTGCTTGGGGATGTTGATTTTAGGCATGCTGTGGGTTCCTCACCTGGGTTCCACTACTGTAAGATTCAATGCGATAACAATATAGTTTTATTATTAGCAACACAGATTCCATTACATCAGTTAAAGTGTTCAATTTAAAAAAACAGATCCCAGAAGTAGATTTAAATAGCTAAATACTTATTTAGATTCTTTAGAGACACTTTGGACATACTTCTCTTTACACCTCACTCTCTTGAAGGAAGAAGAATGGAAAAAGCATTGAGTTTTCCCATTAACAAGAATGTAAAAATGCTTTAATTGCAGGGTTTTTTTTTCCTTGAAAAACAACTGGCAGGGGTTCTCATAGTCCTTTTTCTTCAGATGAGCTTTTATGGTTTTCCTCAAGTATTTTTCCTTCCTTCCTCTTCTACTTACCAAGGCAAACACTGTTTTTTTCCCTGTCAATTCTTCTATGGCTGCTTATGAAAAGCCATGAGACATGAAATCTCAGAACTGCTGTATAGCAGTACAGCTTTGTAGATAGTCTGTCTTCTTTTAAAGTTTTCATTTCTTTTCCAAAGGTTTTCTAGACTGGGTTCCTAAGAAAATGCAACGGGTAGGATGTGTTGAGCTGCTGAACACCGTCCAGAGACGAATACAGCCAAGGCTTCATGTTTTTGGACATATCCATGAAGGTCAGAACACATTTCTTTCTCTATATATTTAGAAACCACAAACACAGAACTTGTCTGGTTTAATTAGCATTTTCAAACTTGAATGTCTGAACTGAAGCACTTCTGGATTTCAGATGCTTACTTAGCTGCATATATGGAGATGAAATTGGCTGATACCCGCTTTTCAATATTTGTACATCAGCTTCTTTCAGTTTCTGCATCTGTAAAACAGGGTGATGCCTCCTTCACAGAGAATTACTGTGAATTTTAAAATAAGAACATTGAGTCCAGTAGTTACAGAAAGTGTCTAAGTATGAGGATTGATGGCTTGTATTTCGCTCTGCTGAATCTCTGTGACTTAAGATAATTCATGTAAGCTCTCTGTGTCTCAGTTTCTGTGTTTGTAAAATGGGTAAGAATGCTTTGAGGGGTGCTTCCAAGGCTTAACCTTCAAGATTTTACAATAAAGGTTGTCTCTCCCCATCATTGCGTATATGAAGTTGAAACCAAGAGGGATGTCACCACTGACTTGTGTAGAAGTTCAAGATATGTATTCATGTATTTATTTGCTTTGGCAGGGGAAACATTTTGTACCCAGAAAAAACAAAGCAGTTCTCTTGACTATTTGATTTTTAAGTGGAAAAAAATGAGTTCCCTTCACATAAGTTAGTAAACGGTGACAAACATGCGCCACTGAAGTCAGTGACAGCAGTTCATCACCAGGCAAAGGGAAAGGTAGATGCTGTCTGCTATAGGAGTCTGTCCTGTTCACATATCATGGCAGCAAGACTTCAAGCAGTGCCCCCACCAAAAGAAACCACTGGGCTGAGCTGAAGTGTACCCATTGGCATGTAAGCATGTATTATCAGCTGCTTAGTTCTTGGCTATGTTAACTTACTGGCAGGAAAAGGTGCTCCACAACTGCCAGTTTTCTGCTTCTGGGACTGCTCCAGCCTTTGATGTAGGATCTCTGTGCGTCTCACCAGTGTAGAAATGAACAAATGGAGAAACTGGAGTAGCTGGCATTCAGGTACTTCGGTTTTTGTGAAAAGCCATTACTCTTCACAGAAATCCCATTCTGACTTGCTGCTGGGGGCTTTCACCATGCTAAGTTAGAAGTGACATTGCTGAGAGGTGTGCTGGTGTGAAATTGGTGGAGAAGACATTCAGATCATTATTTGACAGCTCAGGGATTAAGTTCATTCTCCTCTTATGTCTCATCTGCGGTGACCTGTTAATGCCTAGTTAATGTCTAAAGTGCTGTTAAATCACAGAGTAAACAAACAATGCATAGGCAGTATTTTTTTCTCGCTCTTTGCTGTTAGAGCAGTCTTTGAGATTCCGTAAAAGAGAGCTGGTGAATACAGTTCAAACTCATTGTCTTTTCAGAAATTGTAAGCCAAGTGGTTTGCAGGGGATATAAGCATACAGTTAGCAAGCCATGAAGCTTCAGGCAGGTAAACAAAATCACATCTGCTAAGACCAAGCCCAACTTTGGCTCCCAAGGGAAAAGAATAGCACCTCCACAGAATGGTAAATCCTGTGAATTAATACAGTTGGCAGAGTAGGTATCGGAAACAAGGTACTCTTCTTGTTAACTATCATAATTCAGAGAAAACAAATGGGGAACTGCATAGCCTGTTTTGCAGTGGGATGCTAAATCTCTGCAGAGGAGAATTCCCATTGCAGACAGCCTGTGCAAACGAAGCTGCTCTTTGTAGAGAGAATGCATGATTTGAACAGATGAGTTCTTCCCCTGACTGAGCATAGCTACATCTGCAGAACTCATTTACTGAACATCCGGGAGGAAGAGATGCTTAGAAGAGATGTTTCTTCCCTATTCCCCCTCTGCACTGCTGTCTGCCAAAAAATACCTCTACACATGGGCTTGCTGCTGATCGACCCATGGAAGTGACAAGCAGCATGGCAGGGACTCCGGCTAAAATCCTGGTTTGCCCATCACAGCCAGTACTTGGCTGAGGTCATGGCCAAAGAAACTCTGTTGGCAGTAGGGTAGGAGTGAAAACTGTAGCATTAGGAATCTTCCAGATTCTGTTCTCTCCAAATGTGTAGCCGAGGAGACGGAAAGTCCCAGCAGCAATGCTGACTGTCCTCCATGCAGTTTGTGTTTTATACAGAACAATTGTTCTGTGGCAAACAGCAAATGATTTAAAGAAATGTCTGTGACAGGAACCTGACAGACTTTTCTTCCCTCCGTAGTCCCTAATTATAGTGTGTTTTTTCCATGGGGAGTCCAGGAGGCCCTGCATTATTCAGGGTATTCTAAGGAACAAAAAAGAAAGGAATTTGGCTACTGTTTCTTTGTTTGTAAATTATGCAACTATCAATGCTTCTATAAGACACAAAATTGCACTCAAGAAAACTGTAGGATCCTAGGTACCTAGGATTTGAATAGCTGGAACTCAGTGTATGTAGCAATGAATACATTTCACTGTTAACTTCATTAACGCTGAGACTGAATCTTAGTACAAATGCTTTTGACCAGGTAGTTTCCCCAAAGTCATATATTTCTGATTGTGAATGCATTTCTTCATATTGATCATAAAGTTTCAGTGCAGGTTTCCAATCCTAGCCATTCATGAAAAGATTTTTGACAATGGAGACTGTGTCTACTTTTTCATAACACCAGGGCAGTTAAAGGTTGCTTCTTGACTTTCTGAAATGGCATTTCACTGTATTTCTACAGGCATTAGAGCTGGAAGTTTGATTTTCTGCAGGTTTAGCTCTGGAATTGTTTGGCTTGGGTGTCCAGTCAGACATGAGATGTAGTTAAAGCTTTTTTGCCACCGGTGAGACATAGAGAAGGGTGTTTTCTCCCATGGAAATGTTATGGTGTCTTAGGGCGTAAATTCACCTTGTCTGTCAGAGAACGCATTAATAAAGCCATTTTTTCTCTACCTGGGCAGGCATTTTAGTGTCTTGCCATCAAATTTGGTGGAAATTGGTCAACAAGTTCAAACACATAGGAAAAAGAGGTTCCTACTGGACAAATCCCACCCACGTGCAGATGCACACATACTCCCCTTAGTCAAGCAGTGCTTTTTCTTCATTGGTAGCTTAAAAGATGTACAACACAGGACAGAAAAAAAGGCGGAAAGATGAAAATTGCACAAAGTTTGCTGCACTGATGACTGCAAACCAAAATGATCAGAAGTGTGGTTTTTTTCAATGCTGCAATGGCCTAAGCTCTATCTTCTCATCCTTTCCAAAACTGAGAAGGTTTTAAGAAAAAGCTTTGCAGAGAGAAATATCTGTCTTTCTAAGGAGGTTTGGTGAGCTGGCTGCCAGAGATTATAGCCACTAGCTAGCAAGGGTCCATTTTGCTTTTCTTACACAATTTAAAAGATGGCAAAAAGTTCTGCTGTAAGACAAAGATGGTATTAATTCAGGAGACGTTTATGTTTTGCATGAAGAGAATTTTTTAATTCATTCTGAGTAATAAATATGGCATTTATGGTTGTGTGGTAAAGGTGAATAATTAAAAAGAAAGAAGGTAATAATGAATAATGAGAGTAACCAGAGATGTTCTTTCTTTGCAGGTTATGGTGTCATGGCTGATGGAACTACTACCTATGTGAATGCATCTGTGTGCACTGTGAATTACCAGCCACTCAATCCACCTATAGTTATTGACTTACCTACTCCAAGGAACACATGATTATAATGAGGATTTAAAGTCGTACCCAACACATTAGCAACTTTATATTGCTGGCTGAGAATCCCAATAGGGAACCATTCAACAAAAAAGCAAAAACCTTCTTCTTTTTTCCCTGCTAGCTCTTCACAGATAAATTTTGAGTGACAAAAGTGGATGAGGAACAAAGACATTTTGGTGCCAGAAACAGATTAAAGACTTTAACATTTCACCATTAAAATATTTGTGAACACAGAAAAGTGAATGCATTCCACATATATATATACATATACATATATATATATCTCAAGTAGGGACTTTTGTATATACCGTACATTATATTGGACTTATTAAAGAACAATGTCTTTCAAACGAGTGTTTCTTTAAGAAAGTTTGCAGTTTAAACTTAAGTGTTTAGACTAGGATTTCCTCATTTCAGATGTTTCCCAGTGAGCTCTTGGTACAAGAAGAATGATGGTAAAGATGTTTTCCCTTAATTAACACGGCAAATATAAAAGATGGTGCACGAATGACCAGTCACAGGAGGAAACCTATTGCTTCAAGTCCTCCAGGTCTAAGTCTTTGCATCTATTCAAAACCAATGCAATAGAGGCCCTAATTCACTGTAGTGAAATGAAGTTTTACTACATCTGGCATTACAGATGGTAAGGGAAATGGTGCATATTGCTGGCATGCTGTAAACAGCTCAACATTCAAGAATGGAGACTGTGTTAAGTGCAGTATAAACTCAGGAATTCGTAACCTGGCCTCGCCTGTGAAAAAAAGGATGACATTTCCCTTAAAAAAAACCCAGACCACCCCCCCCCTCCATGTTTTCATATGGTAAGGCGATATGTGATTGTATGTAAAAAGAGAAAAAAAAAACCACAAAAAAACCAGCCAATGTTCAGTAGTGGTATTTTCAATAAAACCCACTGAGACTATTTGTTTAAAATCTGTTAATGGGACATGCAGCCAATGATTAGATTACTGGTTCGAATTTGGCCCCAGTCAGAAGTGATTAAATGTCATTATGATCATTTTGTCCTTGGGGAATGTTACGGATGTTGAGGGGAAGGGGTCATCCCCAGGTGGAGTTTGGGCGTTCACTTTTGGGTAGCTCTGTAGTAGCATAAGTGCGGTGAGTAACAAGTACACCCCAATGGGTACGGAGCAGGGGTCACCTCACAGAACTTGTCATTGCTGTTTGCCTGCTCATGGACACCGCTGAGAGAGGCCCAAGAGAAAATCATCAACCGAGTTGAAATCCATCTGTCATGTTGCATGTGATGCCAGGCGAAGTGGGGGACGTGTCAGGAGCTGGTTGGGATGGCCAACTGCCGTGGTACTGCCCATGCGGCTTTGCTGCAGGTTAACAGAGAAGTTGGAGCTGCTGGGATTTCAGTCCCGTCCTAGGCAGAAACTTGAGAATTGATTACAAACCCACGAAAAAAAAAGTGCTTCAAATGTGCCCTACAAGAAATGGGTTTCTGCCTTGAACAAATAAACATCTCCATGCTCAAGTAGGAGCCTTTTTGATGGAGATAATTTAACTGCTGTATTCTGCACATGGACATCCTGAATTTGGGGCTCATGGCATCAAGGCACTGATCTTGCTCACACACATTGAGCAGATTATTGCGCTGCCAATACAGGGTTGTTTGCAGGTCTGTGCATAGCCCACATCTGCATACATGCATTGGATCATTGTGTACGTTACTTTTTGCCTGATACATGGATGTAAATGTGAGCTTCATGTAGCAGCTGTGTGTACATTGTACGCATACACAATTTAAAATACTGGTGTTGCAAAACCAGGCTCTGTCAGCCTCAACTCTAGGCAAGCCGGGCAGAAACATTGCATTTTGCTGGCTTCCCGTGGCAGCAGCTCTTCCAGCTGCTGCTGGGAGCCGTGACACTCGAGCCCAGTCACTAACACGTGCTGTGGACCACCAGAAACCACCAGAAAACATGACAAGTCATTTCTCGTAAGCTGTTGGGTGACTTGGGGTCCAAACTAATGTGCTGCTTTTTCCTGAAACGAAACCCTAAAGCCATCGGTGATGCCTGCAGCTGGTTTTTGGGTGAATAGTTCACAAGCACATGAGCAGTCCGCCCTGAATTCAGGTGGGGCCACTTTTGTCAAAACTAGTGGTGTAGAAATTACAGGATCAGCTCCTAAATCAGCAAGGACTGAAATTCATAGTTGAATATGAATTCCCGCCATCATTGGGAAGATGAGCAATAGTGTGTAGTTAGAATAAAAGTGTCTTAGCTAGTCACAATTCAAGCGGTTTGCAACAAATGTGACAGGAAATTGGCTGTTTGTTAAAGTCTGAAATGTTTACATTCGCTCACGGCACTTACTTAAGAGACTAAAATGTTAAAGTGAGGGAAGAGGTCCTTTTATTAGCCTCAACAAAATTTCTATGTCGACCATAAACTATTCTCTTAAAAATAATTTTTCCTAAGGTATCTTCAAAATACTATGTATTTTTATGTGGAAAGGATACGAAAGCAGCTGTTACTTCAAAAATATCATTTAAAGTACTTGGGGTATCAAAGCTTAAAGATTATTTAATCATTTTGGCATATCTTGATTGTTGTTGTAATTTTTGGTCAAGCATGTTAGACAAATAAAGTCTTAAAAAAACCAACAAACCACCAAAAAATAAGGCCTCTTTATCTCCACCTCATCCCTTCAGCTCCACATGGGAAAGGCTGCCTGTCTTCTCCAGGTGTAGGAGCCAGGCTGCGGGACATGGAAGTCGTTATCGCGAAGGATTGCGGCTCAGCTGGGGGTTCGGCTGGCAGAGGGGCTGGGGGCGATGGGCAGCGGGTACCGCGCTCGCTCTGCCGGCTTCAGGCCACCGCGGCTCCTGCCGAAGGGAGCGGGTTGGGGGTTGGGGTTGCAGAGCGAGGGGAAAACAGCAGCCGCTACCTGTCGCTGATGTGTTTGGGTGGGGAAACGTGCCAGATGTGCCTGGGAGGCAGGGAAAAGCGAACGTGAGGGAGTGCTGCAACAGAGCTGCGAAGCAGTCGGGAGCTGGGACGCCATCCATCCTCTGGGAATGGGCGGCAGCCGGGGGAAGGATGGTTCGTGCTCTGAGTTGAGCGTAAGGACACGAACCTCAGAGAGAGGGAGATTAAGGCAAGGAGACTTATTTTTATTTTAACTTTATGGACACAGTCAGGGCCTGGGCTTCTCGCCTCAAATCTGATCTACCTCAGATTAGGGAGGCCCTGAAGAGGAAGGTTTCCACAAACTTTTGCAATTGTCGGCTCTATTTATATTCAGGGATGCTCGCTCAAGTCATTTCCCGCCCCACCTCCCCATTGCTGACCTTCACTGATATTTTTCCAGGTAGCATCGCTGCCGAAGGTGTGCTGATGTGTATCACTAATACACGCATTCCCATCACCAGGCAGAATTGTTACCGAGATTAATTTCAGTTCGACGGCAAATAGGGGAGATATCACTGCATGTCAATGAAAAAAAAGACAAGATTATTTTTACCTCCCTCAGGCACATACGGCTGAGGATGTGAAATGTTCCTTGGCTACAAGGAACGAGCAAGCTGGGACTCGGCACCCGCCTGAGCAGATGCCTTTTCCCGGGCAGCCCCCACCCGCCGCAGCTGCCCCCCAGCCTGGGGAACTGGGTTTGGGCTTCCAGATGATGCGATTTGGTAGCCCCTGAAGCCAGAGACTCCAAAACTGCGATCATCTTCGAGGAGGTTGCTGCAGGGAGCAAGGCTGGCGGCAGCTCCACCGGCGAGGTAGCTGTGGGGAGGGAAGGTGAAGACCCCCCGTTTCGGGGCGATGCACAGAGACAGAGCGGGTGGGAAGGTGCTCTGGCCTTGCTGCAGGAGGGAGCCGGAGGGGATAAGAAGTAGTTCGTCTTCTCCAGCAGCTGATTGCTGCCAATAGCCAATGTAAATGCTTCGGAGGAAGGAGGAACAAGACATTCCGTAGAAGGCGATTTTTGGAATAATCTGCCCATGGGGATCTTTGCCCCCCTCCCATTTATTCTTGTTCGTATGAGAATTTCTCTCTTAAAAACCTGTATTATTGCTCGCTGCTAATGTAACTCACATATAGCGAATATAACTGCAAATGTTCTTTTCTTTCAGGTACATTCCTGTCCCTTTCTTGCAAGTCTCTCTGCATCTGTGATTTTAGCGATATTTTGGAACAGTGAGCTCCCTGGGTGATTATGCACAGTGCATTAGAAAAACAGTATTTCGCTTATCCTTGTACGTGTGCTGCTGTTTGGGTTTATTGACTGTCCCTTTGTTCTCTTTTTATGTGAAAAGTGTAAATAGGAGTACTTATATGTACCTTCTTTGTGCCATTCATTATTTTGTATACTGCCATTATGGTGCTTTTTACTCACTTCATCTAGAAATTAAAATAATTTCAATTCTAGCTAGACTCTATTTCTAACCCTCTTACTTCCCCATCTCGGAAACGCTCCCCTCCCCTCTTTTTGATGTGTCCTTTGGGAGTTGGTGAGAGGCAGCGATGCCAGAAGAGGACCTCCTCTTCCTTCCTATCTGAGCATTTGGACACAGTTCCCTGCTACTTTCTCTCCTGATCTCTATCCAGTTCTGCTCTTCATTTGTTTAGCATTTTGGGAGGTAATAGTATACATTTGCAGCTCCCAGTGGAGGACTGCGGTGAGCTGCCCATGGCCCTAGCTGGGTTTTGAGAGGTGACAGCTGACCTGGACTTATCTGGGTGTCACAACCATCACCCCCTTCCTCCAGGGGCTCTTACCCAGGCGGTGTCCATGGGGGGATCCTTTCCCCTGCTCTGGCCTGTTCCCCCGGCTTTGCTGGTGCCCTCGGCAATCCTCATCACCCCCGGTCGGGCTTTGCTGTTGGGGGCACCTCATCCGCCGTGTCTGGTGAGCAGCCCCGGGGCTGGGGTGCTGCTGGGTGAGGTACAGAGCCGTGTGATGTTTGCCCGCTCCTCATCCTGCTTTGGGGGGTTTTGTTTCTTGGCCAGTGTCTAACCCGTGACCCTTCTTTGCCTCCCACAAATAGCTCTTTCACAAAGGTCTTTATCAAAACCTTTGCAAGTGTCCACACCAATTATATCGGCGATATCTCTTGTTGCCAGGACTTTGATGTACCGAAAGCTTTCAAATAGATTAAAGGAACAGGCTTTTCTTTTCCACAAACCGGTCGGCTTTGTTTTGCCCCCCGCCCAGTGAAGTGTATTCCGCCTCTTGAGCACGACGGGCTAAAACCGAGCAGCGTAAGTAACCAACTTTATGACCTGCCACCGGGCCAGCACACAACATGCCCTTGCACTTGTGCCATTTGCTCCAATCCAGTGCAATCCGGGCCCAGTTAGTGGAAAAATTGCTTCCCGCCACCGGAGAAGAGGCTGTTCGCTCGCCCGGAGCAGACCCCGCAGTGCGGCTGCTTCTTCCCTGGTTTTGCCGGGGGGAGCACCGCTGCACCATGAGGTTGTGCTGCCGGCTCGCAGCGAGCCTCACGGAAGCGGGGGACAGCCATAGGAAACAACGACCCAGACAGGTTTGCCATTTTGCTTACTCTCATTACATTTTTCTTTTAATGCTTTCTGTTTTCTGGATGGGATTAGCAGCTTGGGGAGGGCCAGATGGGAAAATGCTGGATGCTATAAACATGCTGCAATGGCTTATGGCGGCATTAAAATGCAAAATCAGGGTAAGGAAAATGCTCTGCCCCACCAGCTGAGCTACCCAATATCCAGCAAAGGCTGGGGAGAGTCGACGGTGACGCTGAAGCACCGTCCCACCAGCCTTTCCCCA